GGGGGGGGGTTGTTTTGAGACAGGGTCTCACTGTGTAGTTGAGACTGACCTGGAATTCACTATGTAGCCCAGGCTGGTCTTGAACTCACAGCAATCTCGCTGCCTCAGCCTACTGAATGCTGGGATTACAGGCGTGCGCCCCCACTCCAGGCTCTTAAACCTACATTTTATAGATACAGTCCCTCTTTGCTACAGCTTCTGTTTCCCTCAGTGAAACCGTGAGTACTTACAGAGAGTTCAGAGAGCGGAGACCTTGGAAAGCATCAGGTGCCAGCTCAGAGATCTGATTGTTGCTCAGGTCACTAAGGTAAAATTAAATAGGTCAGTGAAATTTACTGGAGGAGAGGGTTACTTAGGGCTTCTATAAGTTGGCTTTGTGCCTCTCAGGGCCTGTGTACTCTTTGCAACAGAAAACATCTACAGAATTCTAAATCGAAGTCACAATTTTTAAATCAACCACTGGCTCTTCGCTTCTTATTAGCGGTGCTAGTAATAGGACTATTTTGACAATAGAATGTCTTAAGAATTTGCATAATATGACAATGACACACATTTGCACTTATGTGAACTGGCACATCAAATCAGAGAACTTTAAAAGTTACATGGGTTAGCTACAAGATTAAAATATTATTGTAGAACTAGCACTCACAGAGTCACATCACTTAACATTGAAGCCGTCAAACTCAAGTACTCACTTAGTCTTCCTTGCACGGTCATGACCTGCATAGTTTTAAAAATTATGCATATTCTAGAATATTGTGCACTCACATTCTTCTAAGCTTTTTGTAAGGTGAGAAAGCTCCAGGAGGAATGACCTTGATTGAGTTCTGTTCCAAACGTCTGCAATGAAAACAATTCAATTTTTAAACAGAAACACAAGCTCTTGGATATGTTTGACTCAACTTCAGAATTCATGACCATAAGAAAACTTAGCGCTCTTCACGAGGGATATCTTCTTTTTTCCTTAAGAGTAACTACTAAAAATTAATTACACCTTCCCCTAAATGTGGGGCAGAACTGGAATTAAATACAAGGCTATTTTAAAAATGATAAAAAATGTTCAGATGTTTTAGCGTCATGGGTCCATCAATATGTGGAACTGTACTTTATATTAAAGACAAAATGTTTCTTGAAATCATATTGGGAGTAAAGTTTAATAACCTAAATGTAAATAAGAGAATGATACAGTGACATTAAATTTAGTTGTATAATGTTTCAGATAAAACCTTGACTCTCTCAAAGGAAATTATTGTTGAATTTATAAAACCTTTTTTCCTCTACAGAAAGTACATTAAAGGCTGAAAAATTATCACACTCACAGAAGTCACTTCAAATTCTGTGCGACAAAATATTCAATACTAAATCTGTAAACTCAAGTATTTCCAGTAAGATAGTCCAGGCTCTGTTAAACAACTATGTAAACATTTCACTTAAAAATCATGGCTGCAAAGTGCATTCAAATATAACCAAAGTATTTCAATGACATACTAAAGTCATAGAGTTGAAGATAGCTTTCTGACAAGAGTTATGAAAGACATGAAGTAGATTTCCTTGTTACCTGGTAAATATTTTTGTTCATCACAAAACATTTTCTCTCAAACTCAATTATCTCTATATATGCAGTGTCTTCCATTCTCCCCACCCTTTCTTTTTTTTTTAATCTGTATTAAGTTTATTGGTACCTTTTAGGTATACAATACAGTTACACTCATCATTGGGATCTTGTACCTTTACATGACTTACCTTGGTTCTTATTTTTCCCCATTCCCCAGCCCTCCCTTCACTCCTTCCATCCTTCCCTGTTTACAAAGACTTTGTTTCCATGTTTTTCCTTTTCGTATATTTTTTCTTTTCCCTTTCACCTTTCCCCTACCCCTCCCACTTTCTCTACTCTATTACATAATATCAATTATACATTTTAATTCCTATTTACACTTTCAGTTTTTCACACCAGAGATACGATTCAGTATTTACACACGTGACTTATTAATATCACTTAAGAGTACGGCCTTAATGTGCATCCACTTAGCAACAAATATCTCTAGTTGGTTATTCTTTATGGCTGAGTAGTACTCCACTTTGTAGAAAAAGCACATCTTCTTCATCCAGTCTTCTGTTCTCTGTAGTCCAGAGAGCCGACTCCAGTGAACCGCCCAGCCCAGCTCACTTGCCAACTGGCATTTGTGAATCTGGGCAATGAGGGTCACTGGGGAAAGACTGAGGGGTGGGAGTGAGAGAGGAGCCAGGGTCATTTCACTGTGCCCCCCCTCCCCACCCCTGCCTCATCCTCTTCATCTTCATCTTAATCTCAGCTCCACCTCTAGCTTGTGTAACATCACCTTCTGCTGTGGTTTCTGTAACACTCGAGGCGTCAGGAAATGTTTTCTGTGCGTCATTCCTACAACTGTTTAACCCATTCTCTATGTTAAATTATTTTATTGAATTACTAGGCATAAGCTACATTTGCCTGCTTAAATTAAAATCTGTATAATTATATATACATAAACATACATGCGTACATATGCACAAATACATGTATGTAAGCATGCTTATGTGTGTATGCATTCATATGGGCTATAAATAAACATGTATATGAGTGGCACACATAAATGTATTTTGTATTCACGTGTGTATATTTTCTACTAAAACACTGTTGGCTCCTAAGTGGCAGATTCAACTCAGAAGAGAGGAAACAAATCAAGAAAAAGATATCGATGTGGCATTTGCATTACTTATCAAGGTCTTAAAACAGAGGACTTTTTAAAGGACCTCTAAATATAGCCAAGAGTGTTTAAATCATTTCACTACTGTGTTATTGATTAGTATGTTTTGAATTGATAGGTTAGAGAAAGCTTATTTTGCTTCTATCCATCCTTATATTGAAAAGTTAAGATGTTTAAAATATAATCATTGAAAATAGAAACAAGATAAACTATAGATGTAATACTGTAGACTGAGACTTTCTTTGGATTTAGACCAATAGAATCTCTATTCATGTGTTAATGATTTGCTCACTCTAATGTAGAACTCCAATAAGGAAAAATTAACCATTCTTGGTAAATTATAGATTTCTTCTAACAGCAATGCAAACTTTCTTCATAGAACTGTTTTCATAAATATCGTTTTGAGTACTTGAAAATAATATAAAAAAGCCAATAATCATCACTCATTCATTCATTAACAGTAAAATACTTAATTTCTACTCTCTGAAAATTGCATTATATGATTAGAATTTTTTGGTGATGAAAAGCAGACATATTCATACCCTTATGTAGGTTTTATTTATAGTCTAATTTTTCAGTTAGTAACCAAAACTAATTTCTTCAATTAAAGTTCTTATAAAATGCTATATTCATCATTGTGATTTCTGGAATGTCAATATCCTGAGCTCATAAATGTAGGCAATAACTGAAGATCTTCCCTGAAAATTTTAAAGTTCATTCATTATTTTAAAATCTTGAAGCCTACAATAGTTACAGTGATCATTAAGAACTCTAGTGGCACTTAAAATACATGTTATTATGATAATTTATGCTTAATTTAGAATTTATTTCATTGATAAATATCCTTACCAATGCAAGCAAAACACAAAGATAAAAAAGGCCATAATGTTTAGAAAATGGATACTCATAGTTATAAAACAGAAATTCCTGATAGAATTGTATTAGATTTTATACAATATAGTACAATGATGCTGCATCTATTGTTCATTACTGTGATGTACCTGACTTAATATTCACATTGTAAACAGTCTCACTTACAATGCATAAGACAGAAAGCTTTTTTGTTTTTGTTTTTGTTTTTTGTTTTTTGTTTTCGGTACTGGGGATTGAACTTGGGTTCTTGGGCTTGCAAGGCAGGCCACCAAACCACTGAGCTAAATCCCCGACCCCGATAAAACAGAAAGCTAAATGACAACATGTACCATGAATCTGCTTGTTTTTCTACATTTATCTATATATTTTCAACCCTGTTCAAAAGCATTTAAGAGAGAGCTTATATTGTTATTTACAGTGACTCAGCAGCTAATTGTTTTTTTATTACACTGTCTCAGCAGTGCATTAAGGCAACACATAATTGCATTCTTCTTTCAAAGAGCCGAATTTTCAAGCAGGAAAATATACTACTACTGACAGTCGTCTGAAAATATCTCAAAATTTCTGTTGTCTCTCTCTCTCTCTCTCTTTGGTGAATAATTAATGTGCATTTTCTGCAATCTTTAGAAATGTAGGATGAAGTGTTTTTCTTTTCTTTCTTTTTAAAAATTTTTTGGTACCAGGGATTGAACTCAGGACCTTGCACTTGCAAGGCAGGCATGGTGCTGCTAAGTTAAATCCCCGGCCCGAAGTGCTTTTCTTTTTCACTACAAAATCTTTAGAATACACTGAGTAAATTACGAAAAACATTTATTGAAAATTATGTCTTTCCACTAAAACAAGGGGGAAAGTAAGCCAACGCACAAAATTGAAAGAGTTTTTAGGTAATATTAGAGTTTTCAGACCATGGCAAAAAAATAAAATTTGCATTTTCTAGTTCTGTTATCTTCTAATCTGTTTTAATACCATAGAATCTGCTGAATTTTATAGAGCACAATTTTGAAACCATTATTCCATGAAGAATCTAATTAAAAACATTCCAGAGTTACTAAAAGAGAGAGTGCAATGGTTAAGATATATTTCCATGGTGGGGATAAAATCCACCATAATTAAGAGACTTCCAAAAGTCAATCCTTTGAAAAAAATGTAATATTTTGATTTTGAAAGAAAAAATTATTTTGAAAATTGAATAGTGGAGGAAATCATATACACTGAATACTCTAATGAAGATTTTTTTCCATGTAAATGTGACCAAAGCCTTTGTCTTCTCAGGATTCATTTGGTCAAACCCAGAATATGCTATCATCGTGAGTATATATGTGTGTATACAAATACTTACATAAATCCACACACACACACACACACACACATACATACATACATATGACTGCTACCTCTTCTTCGCCATTAGAAGAAAATTTTAGTTACATGCCAGTAAGATCACAAAATGAGTTTTTCTAACTACTATAATAAAATATAATCAGCACATTTAGCGTGCAAGAACTTTCTTTCCTCCCTTCTCCTAGCCCTACAATTTTTTTGTCTTGCTGTCTGTTGTTGTTTCTAAAAAATAACAGCAAACTCTATATATATATATATATATATATATCACTTAATGGCTGTACTTCAAAGAATAGAAAAAAGGAAAATCATGAGATTTCCCTTTATTGTACATTTGGGACTCTTAGAAGGTAGCAATTATGCATAATTTTAACTTTTCGCCCAACAAATTTCAACTGTCACTTGTGGACTGATGGGCACAGGGACATATAAAATACTCTGCAATGGTTAGCAGTGAGGTCTTAGATTAGGAACGTACATGGCACACAGCATGGATGGGCAACTGAAAAATATTTTACTTGTTCTGAAAACATTTATAAGATATTAAACAATACTAGTTCATTATAAAGTATACTTATAGCTCACTGACATTCAATTTCTACCCATTATTAACATTTCTCAAATCAAGTTATTTTGGGAAACAACACAAAATATTTACAAACTAAATCTTGAATAAAAGTTCTTAAGACATGTTTATATGCTTTCTACATATGTATATGTAATTTTTTTAAAAAAAGTGTGATTTGGTATTTGAAAGTGTGAGCTTTAAGATTTAGGCTAACTTGGATTAAATTTTGGCTCTGCCTCTGATTAGCTCTATGGACCTTAGAAAAGCGATTTTTCTTTTTTGTGTCGTAGATTACCACTTCTGTAAAATAGAGAAAACAGAACATAATGTTTTGATGAAAACTATATGATATAGAGTATGTTTTTATATACAAAAAATTAAAAGAATAACAGGAGCATAAATGTGTACATATATGTATTCATATAACATGTACCATTAAATTATAAAATTGGACAATATATATTATCTATATATACACATTATACAAGAGTCATCCTGCTACATGATCTGATCTTGGGTATGAAATAAATATATATCATTTCAAATAATATTTTAAAACTAACAGTACAGTTTTGCACATAATTAACTGTATATTAAACTAATACATTATTAACATAGAGGATGAAAACATATATTAGGTTGAACTTTCTGTGATCAACATGATTAAAAATAGCACTTTCTCTAATTTGGAGACTGACTTAGAAATTCAAAAAAGTTTTTATAATACCCAGTTAAGTACGAATTTGGATTGATTGTCTTTGTAATGTACAGCCCAGATGCTGATTATCCATGGCAATAAAACTGACATTTCTTTGCATTTTCTCCATCTGCTTTTAACATAAATGGCAAAAACAGCTGTCAGAGAATAGAACATGGATTTAATGGGTTGAGGGGAGGGGAGGCAAAGTGACTCTGGCTTCTGAATGTTAAATGGCTCAGGATAGCAAATATATTCTAATCATAGGTAACATCAGCCCAGCATTTGAAAAGGAGGAAACAGTCATATTCCTCTGACATTACAGATTCTCTTGGCTATTCATAATGATGCCAAAATAAGTACTGTACATTTCTGGAAAGTCACTTCCATCTTTAGCACAAAATGAAATCCTTCATCTATCTCTATTTAAAATGACCCAGCATATTTTAGACTACAACATTATTTCTATGTTGTAACAAGAGTCCCCAGGCCTCTCTAGGTTTAATAAATATCTTCAACATCTGAGTGAATATTAGCCTCTGGAGGGAAACTTTGCATGTAGCTAGCGTTTCTTGCTTTAGGACTGTGTCCACATGGATTATCAGCCATTCCTGTCCTAGGATAATTTGTTTCTGAAAATTATCCATTTCCTTAATCTCATTTTATTTCTTCTGATGTCATTCTAGGATACATTCCCCTGAGAGCAAATTCAATTGATGTTTTCATAGGGAAAAAAATGACTTTTCTTCCATTTGTCCTTATAACCAAACATTCACAGCAAGAAAAAAACCTATGTACACATAGAGGGGGTAGGGTATGTGTGACTTCTGAGTGTTAGTGCTCTCGAGCATTTGCTTACAGAGATACATACTGAAATGCTAGGATACACACAGTATACACAATCAAGTGGTTTAGGCTTAAAGCAAGAAAGAATAAACTTAGGCACGTGACTATGTTTTCATATATGACTCCTCTTTATCATTCCAAGAAAGAAAAAGAGAAGTTCTGTTCTTTTGCTTTTCATTAATAACTAAAGCCTTTTGGGCACAGTTGCAAATGATTATAGTTTTAGAAGTATCTGTAAATTGCTTTTATATTTTACTTTTTTAGCTATATTAATCCATGAGTATATCTCAGTTTTCATTCTCCTCCACCCTTGCATTGAATTATTCTTTAAATTATCCATTATCTTTTTTTGTCCTGTAATTTACATAATATTGTGATCATTAACAGTTTAGGAACTTTCAATTCTGAATTTCTGGCTGATTAGCCACAAATCTATAACATAATTGCTAAAATGCAAATGAGAAATTAATTCATTCTAAAATTGAGAATATACTGACTCTACCCCAGATGTCTTCAGTTTTATGCTAGAGTCATCACAGGTCTTATTTTACATTTGAGAAATCATCCATTTATTTCCTGTAGAAGTTTAAGTGGGGCAACTGCATTATTCCTAGAGTTACCTCTTCAATTAGCAATAATCGCGCCTCGGATAAACCTCATTGGCTACGATACTGCCACTGCGCAAAGCTTAGAGTTACCTCTTCAAATAGCTTCCTATACCCATGTGCAAGCCGGGCATGGTGGCGCATGACTGTAATCCCAGCACTCAGGAGGCCGAGGCAGGAGGATTACTGTGAGTTTGAGACCAGCCTGGGCTACATAGTGAGACCCTGCCTCAAAAAAACAAAACACCAAAAAAAACAAAACACCAAAAAAACCAAACTATACCCATGTGCTACTGACCCTGTCTTCTTCATTGCTTATAGAGATGGACGCTATGCCCACATGGACGGGTTCCTTTCCTCCAAAACACCCTCTCCTCCATGTTACAGTGATTTTTTTCAAACAAGCAAATCTAGTCAAGCTACAACTGTGTTAAAAACATTTCTTTGCATTGTATGCTCATCAGACAGGCTATTTTTAAGATTCGGCTTCTACTTTATGTGTGAGCAACTGCAAACATTTATGTTATCCCAAAACACAAAACTCACCCCTTTTGGACTCTGCACATTCATTTTCCTCAGAATACAAAAGTCCCCAATTCATCTAACTGCAAAGCACATACCTGAAAATTACTCAGTTCTCCTAAGGAAGACCAAGGTATGACTTTCTCTGTGTCCCATGCATATGTGTATTTTGTACTTATCCTAAGCTTGAAAAGTTTTGTTTGCAAGAAGCTTCAGTTCTCTGCATGGCAAATATTTTGAATGCTGGTACTGTGTCCTTTTTCTCACTATGCCTGATGCAGAGTAGGTACTCAAAGTATTCATTAAGTGTATAGAATATTTTTTAAAATGCTACTTTTGTGCCATTCTTTTCCTACAATTTTACTCATCAAACTCTGGACCTTTTAGAGGAAATCAGGTGTGGTTTCTGTCTATTTTTACCACTATAATCTCTGTGTTTGTCATTTTAATGTTTGTTTTCCCCCAATATATTTCTAAATTCATTATACTATTACACTAATTTTCACATCTTAAGCAATAAGAAGCTGTATCTAGTCTTCTACATTTTTCTCTGAAGAAAGCCATTATAGATTTCTGCTTAAGTAATCACATAACTCGACTATAACACCTGTGTGTGTGTGTGTGTGTGTGTGTGTCTTTATG